TGAAGGGGATATGCTTTGCTATGTGACTTTGCAGGGTTGAACCTGAAGGGGATATGCTTTGCTATGTGACTTTGCCTCTTACTACCTATTATCTTGTTTTGTGCTAACAGGAAACTTTCAACAGTGAAAATGTGAGCTCTAGATTTTTACTCTTATCTAGGAAGAAATAAATGTATACCTTGAAGGTGAAGTTACATTATGAGCACATTTAACTTTGGTGAATTTTGTTAGTTGCTACCATCATCACTTCCATCGCTAACACCACCACTGTCACTACCACCATCATCACATCCCCAAGCCAAAAGTATCTACAAGAAATATTCAACAGTGCAAAGGATTTCACTCACCAGTCTACTAAAATTGCATATCCCCAAGACGAGAGCATGATTTAGAGGGAGAAGGGGCACTCCTCAGTCTATCTTAATTCCTACTGCCTTCCACAGTATGGACATCTCACTGCACTGGATAAACTATATGTCTATGGTATATAATTTGATATTTACTATATGTAAATAACACTACTTAAATATAGTAGTTTTAAATTCTACATACTTTTCAATGTGCTTGCTAAGTAAGTCCTGTAAGATCACATTCTTAAGTTCTAAGCTTAAGCTTCTGTGACCTCCTGGTGGCTGCTATGGACATCACCTTCTATTTAACTTGTTTCGTAATGAATGAGAATGAATTTGCAACCTTAGGATCCTAAGACATTATAGAAGAAAGGAACCTGTTAAACCTCCTGATTTAACAGAGGAAGAAGCTCATGCTTAGAGAAGAAAAATGAATCGACTGAAACTAACACAGACTAGATCAGCACTGGAGTACAGCATAGAAGTCCAGGGTGTCCCCAGGGTAGTGCATAAAGTCACTCTACATGGAGGAAATGAGAAACAGTAGCTAGACGTGCCTTTATTTATAAAACATCGATCACATAATTGTACAAAGTATTTACAAAATATTCTCTACTTTTTGGCCACTGTGCTAAAGCTGAGTATGGTAAGACTAAGATTAATAACCTCCTGGGATGCTAAGACACAGCTTAGGGAAGGTGAATTTCAAATTAAATCCTCGACATGAGTAAACGTTTAGCAGTTGTCCAGGGGAGTGATAAATTCCAGTCAGAGGGAGTAGCATAAATAAGGACATAGTGACATAAAGTTCTTTTTTTTTTTTTTTTAGAAAACTAGGAGAAAGTTGAGAGTAGGGAAGGGATTTCAAGGAAACTGAGTGATAAGTGAAGTAGGACGATCATGGACATTTTGTGCTGTATCAAGTCATTTGAACTTTTATCCTGTAGGTCAAGTGGAGCTGCCAGTTGAAGTGTTAGCGGTGGTATGGTGGTGTGACTGGCATGGTGCTTTCGTTCTGGGGGCACTGTGTGCTGGAATCGAGGTGGGCGGTGTTGGCTTTAGGAAGCCAGTGTGATGTTACACTACAATGCAGGAAGCAGATGGGGAGGGCTTGGGTGATGGCAGGAACCAATCTGCATTGCCCATTGCTGTATCCCATGTACTTAAAATGTTGGCATTAAGTAAATCTTTGTTAAATGAATGAAAAGACAGTGATGGTATAATCTCCAGTAGGAACATTCTGTTACTTAGTTGGGGTTTGTGAACACAGATGAAATCCCAGACATGCATGTCTTAGTTGTAAGTACTTGAAAGATTGAGTTGCTTTATTTGTAAAGTTGAAAACTAATTGTAATAACAGCCTTATTACTAATTGTAATAAGGAAAAGATCTGCTCAGCTGAATTTTTTGGTTAACTGAGGATGAAGTGAAGTTTCCCAGGGTAATATAATGTTCCTGCATTATACAGTATAATATGAATACGTAATATGATTGCCTTTAAGTAACAAGAACACTCGCAAAATGTACTTTTTGAGAAGTTCAGCACTTTACAAATCACAGACTTTTTATTTAATAACCAAAATATCAAAAACTTTAAAGAAATGTATTAAATACAAATTGAGTGCCATTATGATTAAGGAGAAAGAAAAATAATTTCAACTCAAGAAGTTATAAAAGAAAGAAGTTGAGAGTTGTAGAACCCCATGGGAAAAGAGATATATTACAGAAGTCAAGTTTGCTTCAAAACTAGGAAGCGTGAAGATGGCTCTAGAGATTCTAAATTTTTAAAACCTTGTTAAAGAAAAATCAACTTTAAAAGCAAAGGGAACAGTAAATCTGAAGTCAGATCTCTCAGGATTGCTTGTTGTCTACGAATATGATCCCTCCCCCCACCTTCCTCTTTGCTTCAGCCAACTACTAGTGTCTATTGAATAAAAGCACAGGCATTTTTAGGGACCAAACTTGACTCATGGAGTGAAAAAGGACTAGACACAGAGGTGTGGCTTTGAGACAAGCAAGAATGTCAAATCAAAAATGTTCCCTTTAAGTCAGATCAAACTTTCAGAGTCTCTGGCTTTACAGCAGGGCTGGGGTAGAAATATTTCTAGTTCATAATTTACTTTTTTAAAAAGTATTAAAATGATAAACTAATACAAAGTCGTTACAGAAAATTTGGAACATTCGGGGGAAAAATCCAAAAAAAAAAAAAAATAAGTTTCCCCATGTCTGTTAAAATCTTGGTAAATAATTTTTAATTGGTTGCATGGTGCTTCATTTATGAGAATATCATAATTTTCTGAATAATCTTATTAATGGTGTTTCCACTTTTTTTTTTCTTTTTTGTATTTTTGGGCATACATAATCATTCCGTATTCAAGATTTTTTCCTAAAGATAGATTAGTAACATGGAATTACCGCTCTTCATAGTAAGCCCCAGGTAAGCCAATCATAAACCGTCCATCCTGAGAGCCAGCTGCCCAGGAGATTCCTGACTGGCCATGCAGGCTGATAGTTGGTGTCATATAATTGCATTGCGAGTTTGACATGCCCACCTTAGGGCTTTTCATAACATGACAGGACCTCATCTTAAGTAGGCAGGTAACAATCTCGCACCCCAAATATATATCCTGTGAAGGAACTGGGAAGATTCTAAAGGCAATGGTCACTGACCACCCCTCAGCCTGATACATCAATTATTTCTTGCTGAAATAGGTTTCTTTTGAGCTTATTTCAGTAGAATGTAAATGGAAAGAGAATGTATGTCTCCGCATTCCGTTTTGGCAATTGAGATTATTTATATCAAAGGGTAGGACAGATTTCAGAAATAGCTAGAGATAAATTAGAATAGAAACATTTTCAGTGTTTAATCATAACTATAATATCATTCACTGCACAGAGAATTCAAGTCCACAGTTACAAACCTGGCAAATTTAATTGAGACACCAAATAAAACAAAACAAAAAGCTCAGGCTAATTGCATAAAACCATAGAATTTGTTCTCTTTACCAGAAAACCAATTTCAGGGAAAGAAAATTCACCAAGGAATCTTACCCTGGCCTGGAACATCATTAGGAAGTTTATGGTTCTTCCAGATGAATGTAGGATTGCTGTCCATTGGGAAGGTCTTATTTACATGGGTGTCAAATTTCAAAAGAGGTATGTACTGGGTCAGAGAACAAAAAAAGAGAAAGGACACTCAGATAAAAGACATTTTAGAATAACTTCTGGTGAGATTGGTGGTCCTGCCTTACAACTCTAGACTTCTATAACACTTCTCTAGGAAGCCAGGTAATTGCTGACCAGGTAGTTGGGATCTGATAATCGGTTCACAGCATGAACACAGATTTAAATTCCAGATGTGTCGATTAGTTTTCTATTTCTTTATGACTACACACTATACCTTTAACCTCTGCCCAACACAGATTCTTTGGGTCTTTAGAGAAATAGTTTAAGTCTTTCATTCTATTAATACAAATGTTAAAATAGAGGCCAAGAAATACTAAATGGCTAAGTCCAGTCACATGACAAGTGACAGACAGGTGTTTTTTTTACAATATTATGTTGCTTTTTGAAAATGATCTCTTAAAACAATGCACAACAGCTAAAATCCACTACGTCCTTTTGATACCTGTCAAAGAGCCCTGAAATAATTTTACATTTCTTGACTACTATCAATTACACGATTTTCTGATCTCTTTTACCCCTTTGATCTAACATACTTTCTTGTAAGTGACACTAACTGGGTTTCTAAGATAAAAGGTTTCTCTTTCAAGTAATTTAACAATAAAAATATTAACATGTTCTTAAATTACTTCTGTATATATTGAGTGAATTTTATAACGGATATAAAGACCAAGGGAGAAATGAACATTCTTCTAAATTTACAATTGTTCCCTCAAAATATTCTGGACAAAAGTTCTACATTTTCAAAATTTCTTTCTCTCTCTCCCTTTTCCTTTCCAAAAACAAAGTCCTGCTGTGAGCCCTGGGCTGGAACTTGTTTGGGGGGATGGCAGGGAGGGCTCTGTCAGCCTCAAAACTTTATTTGTGGCTCACTCCTGTAATCCTAGCACAATGGGAGGTTGAGGCAGTTGAATTGCTTGAGCTCAGGAGTTTGAGACCAGCCTGAGCTAGAATAAGTCCCCATCTCTAAAAAAATATCTGAGGGGAGGGAGGTAGCACCCGTAGTTCAGTGGTTAGGGCATCGGCCACATACACTGGGGTCAGTGTGTTCGAACCCAGCCCTGGGCCTGCTAAACAAAAACAAGAACAAAAAAATAGCTGGGTGTTGTGGCAGGCACCTGTAGTCCCAGCTACTTGGGAGGCTGAGACAAGAGAATCACTGGAGCCCAAGAGTTTGAGGTTGCTGTGAGCTATGATGCGATAGCACTCTACCGAGGGCAACATAGTGAGACTCTGTCTCAAATAAATAAATAAATAAATAAAGCCGGGTGTTGTGGCAGGTACCTGTAGCCCTAGCTACTCGGGAAGCTGAGGCAAGAGGATCCCTTGAGCCCAAGAGTTTGAGGTTGCTGTGAACTATGACACCACAGCACTCTACCCAGGGCAACAAAGTGAGACTCTGTCTTGGGGTGGGGGGGAAGAGACAACAACTTTATTTGTAACTTGAGAGCAAAATCTGTAATTGCTTATATTGAGGATAAGACGTATCTGATATGTTAGGGAGATGTATCTGGTATATTAAATCTCTACTGAGATCTACCCCAGATAAAGATTATCACCTGTCTAGCTCTATGATTTGGGAACTACTCCTTGGTTTCCCCAAATGTACATATTATTAATAGATAGCACAATTGATTGCATTACAGTATTGATAAATGCAACCCAATTGTGGGTGAAAGATAAGGGACAGAAACTAGGCTAGTCTAACATTCCAGAGGGCACATAGATAAAAGTCTAGGTTCCTTGGACACCACCCCTCCACCCCACCCTCCGCGTGCTGCACACACTGTGGGGTTGTAGAAACTTGGGATTTTAAATAGGATGTTAAGCAACACAGATCGCCCACAGCTAATATTCTTAAGCCAGTAAGATGACAGCCAGGGCTTTGATAACTCCCCACCTTCAGCACAGCATTGGTTAGCACCCCCTGGGGGGTTTGCACAGAATGCTTAGCAATTAAATGATTAAGATTGGACTAGGCAAATCTAATTCAATTGGGAACAATAGAGTAAATCAGGAAAGTTATAGATCACCCCCAAAGTATTGTATTCATTCTTATTTTTGTTTTATGATTTTGTGATTTCCTGACATTTGTTTTCTTCTGCTTTTTCCCATTACTTCCTCGCTTTTCATTGCCAGGGTAAAAGTCCTTCTTTCTGTAATTAACTTTGCTCTATAAAAGTCCCCTGAGGTTGTTGGTGGTGACAGCATTTCCTTGCCATTCTTTGTCCATGTGAAATTGCTCTCCTCTCTGAGCCTCAGCGCCTCCCTGGTCATTGCATTACTAATGGGTAAGTGTGAGTGCTTTCTGTCTGGGTCACTCCCTCGCTGGTCCATCCACTGAAGTGGAACAGCAACACCAAATTGCTTTTAGAAAGAGTAAGTGCAAAGAATAACATTTTTTTTTTTTTTAGATGGAGTTTCATTTTGTCACCCGGGGTAGAGTACTATAGTATCACAGCTCACAGCAACCTCAAAACTCTTGGGCTTAAGCAATTCTCTTGCCTCAGCCTCCCAAGTACCTGGGACTACAGGCACCTGTCACAATGCCTGGTTATTTTTTTCTTGTAGTTGTCATTGTTGTTTAACAGGCTCGGCCAGATTCGAACCCGCCAGCCCCGGTGTAGGTGGCTGGTGCCCTAATCACTGAGCTATGGGTGTTGAGCCAAAGAATAACATTTTTCATTTTGAAGAACAGTCATGACCGTAACATAAGAAATCTCACCATATATATTGCCTCTCTCTATGAGAGGCAGGGGGTATCCCCCCAAAAGCAAACTCGGAGGGGAATGTAGGTAACTTTGTAGTTACTACCAGGGGTACCAACAAAAGGCATACACATTTTAAGAAATGTCATCTATGAAGTACTTTTTGAAATTGAATTGAATTACAGTAGCAACATGTAGTATGACGTTTGCTCAGAAGATGGCCTTGAATGAACGCTGGTGTCACCATATCACAGGCAAGACTGTCAAAGAAAATAGCAGAAGCACGTTTGTCATTCAAGGAGCACAAGACCATTTTGAAGTGGTATTTGAAATTTGAGAACATCATGGCAGTATGGGGGATCTTAAAGGATGTGGTAACTAGCTACACCGGTTCTTCAGGAAGAAATTTAAATAGCATGCACAGTGATACAATGGACATTTTGGTCAATGTTGCTCAAGTAGTAGTTGGCCATAATCACAAGTGTCTGATGATATCCAATTTGACAAGCTCTTGTAATTATAGAAGTCAAACATAACTTGTACTCATCTTTTGTGATCCATTATATCAAGTATTACAATTTTAATATAGTTGTTTTATTTCTTAAAATGTGTATACTTTGGGGGGCACCCTCTGTATTCATAACTGAAGCATTGAAGGGATCTATTTTAAGATATAGCATTATAGTCAAGATTCAATATAGTAACTACAAATTATGGATTACTCTTTTGAAAATGTTTCAAAAGAGTAACCCCAAATTTCTGGTTTAGTTTTCTCAATCAGGAAATCTCTTCTCCAGCTTTCCACGTTTGCCACTGCAGGCAGAGTTGGGTCAATATGTACACTCAACATATGAAGTAAGGGTGTTCTAATGCTCACGCTGATTAATGAAAAATAAAGAACTTTTCCTCTTAGATTCCCAGTTGTGTTGGGCCCTGACCTGAAAAAAAAAATTCTATTGACCACTTGGTTAGCTGGAACAGTGGCTTTCATAGTTTGGACAGACATAGTTTTGAATGACATAAAGACAGATGCTTAGTTTTTAAACTAAATACAGATCAGACATCCACTACGTGCCAGACAGGAAGCTAAGCACTGGAGAAGTGGAGAGGTGAGTAGGGCCACTCTCCTTCTTTAAAGAACCTACTATTTAGGTGAAGAAAAAAGACAGAGGGTGTCAATGAAAACATAACATCATAGGGCTGTTTACGTGGGCCTCAGAGACTACACAGTTAATAATTTTCAAGAGAGTTCAAATGAAGAGAACAGGAAATATTTCACTGAAATCTCTGGGTGTGAAGATGAATAAACAACTCTTAAGAAAGATCTGTATCATCCCATTGGTATCCCATCAACTGTCTGGACATTATACGGCATAATTTATGCTGAGTGGGTTTATATGGCAAATAGAGTGAGTATTCTGAGTAAGAAGTTTTTATTGGTCAAAATGTTTAGGAAATACTGCCCAATTGGGGCATAATGATAAAGGTAAAGTGAACTGCCTTCAGATCCTACACGTAATTTCTCTAATTCCCTCACTATGCTCCTTTTCCAAGTCATCTCTCCTCACCCGATCACGCCACCCTGCATTTCCTGATAAGCAGTGAGACGTACTTTCTTGGTTTCCACAGAGGTATACAGAAGCACCATGGTATTGTCCACATCCCCACAGTCATCCAAGGTCACGGGACCCCCATACCCTAGGGCAAAATCAGAGCAGTTAGAGGACGCTATTGACTTCTTGCCTGACAGACAAGTTGGACCCTGACTGAGAATGTAAAATGGGTTCAAATGGTTGTGTCACAAATTCACTGAAAAACTGTGGACCTTAATGGTCTAATCAGAGGGCACCTGGACTGAATTCTTGACCCCCGAGGCTCTCTGAAGGGTATTTTTTACAGGAGATGTTATTTATTTGGAAGGAAAAATCTTTTTCATTACATTTAGGATGAGACTAAACATAATCTGTTAATTAATCCCTCTATTAGGAGTGATCCATTTTTGCTAAGAATATTTCCTAAACTAGTAACACACTAATATAGGTTACTGGGCAATCTGACGTAGATGGTAAAATGATCAAAATTTTTTCACTATCACTCATGGGCTGAAGACGTTGAAAACTTAAATTTTCTGAGTTTCAGTTTTCTCATCTATGAAATGGCTATTTAGGTAAAACATGATCAAGTCAGCAACTTCACTTGGCTCAGCATAATAGATAATATTTGCTTTACAATAGACCAGGGTCTGTGCTAAGTGCTTTATATACATTTATTGTATTATTTTCCCTGGAATTCCGTGATATAGAAACTACACTCACTAGAACCTCTGTAAGTTGATCACCCAAGGGACTATAATAAACTGGTCAACACACAGAGGTGGTCAACATAAGGAACTAGGCCTTTGCACTGATACACACACATGGTGCATGTTTGTCTATGAAAATTAGGTCAACTTAAAGAGGTGGGCAATGTAGTGTGGTAGTTAACTATGGAGTTCTACTATTTTCTCCATTTTATTGATGAGAAATGATTTATTAAATGTATAGATATTAAATGACTTGCACATGATTGTGCAGCTTGTAGGAGGCTGAACTAGGACACAAACAAAGATTTCTTGGCTCTAAGCCTGTGCTAGTGGCCACTAGGATGCTTGACCATGGTTGTGGATGTAGGAAATATTAAGAATGCACATAAATTTCCTGATACAACACTTGGGGTGACCAATAAATGATGGTGTCAGAAGAGACCTCTTCCAGTCATTCTCATGCACCCCAAACATCGCTGCAGCTCAGCCCTCATGCTGGGAAGAGGAAGACTCACTCCGCAGGAAGGCAAAGGTTTCCCAGAATAAGACTCTAAGGTAAGTCAGAGAAGGCAACTGTCATTTGCCCTTTACTCAGTACACATTGCATTTAAAAGAAAATTTCTTCATAATGTCTACATGAGATCTGAGAAACGAAAGATGGGAATTTTAATATAGGTGTGTGGGAAAGGGGAATGTTGTCAACCTGTGTAGTTTGGAGGGGTGTATATTGTTGTAGATGGTATTATGAGGAGTTTTGATAGTGGTTGATTTAAAGCAGGGTCCCAAATTCTTAAAGGACAGAAAGGGAAATGAGGAGGCACCCAAACAAAAGTGCAAATATTTCCCTTCTTGCTAGTCTCCAAGCATCCAAGTCAAGACATCACTTCTCAGATGAGCCTGTTCGTAAGTACAGATACTGAGCTATGTGTTCTTTCTGTGATACCCAAAGGCTATGACAGTTTATAGCATAAATGGGGATCCAGTTATCAAAATGAGCATCCCCCAAGTTCATGTAAGGTGTTTGCCTCTAGTTGAGTTCAGAGGTGTTTAGCTATTGAGCCATCCATCTAATGCCAACCCCCTCATCATGTCCCAAAGTCCATTCAGAAAGCCCACATCGCTTCAGCTTTGTTGTTATTTATTCTTACAAGCTGACTACCTTCAAAAGTGATGTTCCTGAAGGCGTAAGCAAACTTGCGGGTGGGAATATCTTCTTTATTTTCAAGAAATATCTTCAGCATGTGTCCAAAGAGCAAGATTCCATTCAAGTAGGCAAGACCAAAGTGGTTTCTTACCTGAATGAGAGAGAAAAATCTTGAAATGGGTCCCCCCAAAAGACATTTCTTGAGTTAGGAACAAAAGGTTCTTGGGCTCAGCAGAATAATTGGAAAGCTAAAAGGATGTGAGAGGGATGTTATTAAAGGAGACTTCGGGACAATCCCTTCTTGGGTCAGGGCTCATTATTTTCCCATGTTAGAATTCTGCCTTCTGTTTGCACCAACAACACCAGAATACAGCCTTTGGGGCAGTAACTATAAGCAATTATACTTTCTTCCCATAATAATAACATATACACTTGCAACCAGGTAAGACAACAAGAAGCATTTTCATAATTTTTGCAAGATTTTATATGGAGATAATGCTTGTTTATAGATGAATGTTTTCATTGAAGTGAAAAAGAGAAAATAACCCCGCAAAAACAACACCTGCCTTTCAGTATCCTGGATGGGACTTGAGCATTTTTGATTGAATGATAGCTTTGAACTTGCTCTAAAGATAGTTCTGGTTGGTTATTACCTCAAGCCCCAGATGTCTGCCCTGGGAAAGCCATGCAGAGGGTCAGAACCCCACTGCCAGAGCTGAGCTATGAATTAAACGCTCTCACCCTACTGAGACCAAGTGACAACTGTTACTTCAGGCATTTTGGTTTACCCGCTTGTGAACAATCATACTTTTGCCAGAGCTGAGAAGATGGTCAAGTCTTATCATCATATCTGGCTACTGCACCCAGAATTATATTTGCTAGAAAATATAAAAAGGAAAAATTCTCTTTCATTTGTTTCCATATCTTTTTCTGAAGTCTTTATTTCCTAAAATAAAAAGAAACCAGTTGAGACACAGCCCCTAATTCTGGCAGGGTTGTAAATTGGAGGGCTTGTAATTTGTCGGTCTAGGGAAAAACCCTGAGAGGTAGCCAACTTTCCTGACCCTGGACTTGCCCTCCCCAAGTTGTTTCAGGTGCTCAGGATTGCTCCTTCTTTCTCCTCACACTCCAAACCTGCTCTTAGCTGGTGATCTCTGAGGGCAGAATGCATCCAGCAAATTCAATCACATTAATGTAGTGACTGATAAAGCCTGTATGCTATTCATGTTGGGGCCCTGCATTATAACATGCTCATGATTTAATGTCCAAACAGAGACCATTTTTCTGGAATAAATGTTAAACCAGATGAAATACTGGGAATACAAGAATAAACCAGGACTCGCCTGGGCAAATCTGGGCAATGGGTAACTTCATTATAATAAAGGAAACCATCTTAACCCAGGAATAAATATATCCAAAGGTTGAATTTGGTATCAGTGACAGGAAAATGTTGCCTTAAGATGTGGGGAAATTTCCAATAACTTAATTTTACACTATTTAATTTTTATCTCCTCTAGCGTTTCTTTCTCTCTCTTTCCCCATCGTTCACTTCTGCTCTGCTGTTGCAGAGGGGTCCCCTGTTGGGCTGGTTTGCAGCTTAGCAGAGTGACCTCCAGTTTGGGGAGAGATTCTGCTATTGCAAACTGCTGTTCATGTAGTTGTTCTCAGTTAACATTTGTTGAGTGAATTTAAAAGAGTCAAAATAATTGCTCATTTTAGAATTGGGGTCCTAAATAGGAGAATAATTATATTATGCCTGAAAAAGAAAATAATACTATATTATTTACGCTGTAATATAAAATAATAGCTTACCGTTGAAAAGTTTTTGAAGAGAGAGTAATTTGCAGTGAAATTTTCAGGAGGCAGTGTCAGAACAAGGACATTTTCCATAAAGTCAGGGGCTGTGGTATTTTCCTTAAAGTAGTAGTTACTACAATAAAATGCACAGGTGCCACATGAAAATTAGGTTCCACCAGAAATAGAAATGCATCATCAACAATTCACACAAACTATAATCCGGCCTTGAAAATAGTTTAAAACCTTTTTTTCCATTAAGCTGCAAAACTTTATATTTTCCCCAACTAGGATTTATTTTATTCTCTGCTGGCTAAGCTGAATAAGAGAACTTAGACAGCTATGGTTAGTAGAACCAAATGGGAAGGAAAATCAGAATATAGATACTTCTATAAGCATCTTGAGATGCAATCTTCTCATTTGTAAAATGAGAATTGATGTGTCCTTTTTTTACAAGGGTGCTTATAGGATTAGATGTGATGATCAGAGTAAAATACTCAACACAGTACTTAGCACACAGTAAAAGTGCTTAAACACTAAATATACAGGGAGTGTGCCATGTGCCTATAGTCCCTGCTGCGAAGAAGGCTCTGGACATGTGAGTTACCATGTTTCCCTGAAAATAAGACCTACCCAAAAAATAAGCCCTAGCAGGATTTCTATGCATTTGTCAAATATAAGCCCTACCCCAATAATAAGACCTAGCATATCTGCATAGCCACGCCATGCATTTCAGCACAGAGTGGTAAGGAAGACTGGAATACCTTTTATCTACCACAGCTCCTTTCTCTGAGCCATTTGCACTTGCATGAGTGTGCATGTGTGCGTGTGGTAACTGAGGTCACAGGCATCCTATTGCGCACGTGTGAATGGCTAGGGGAAAGGAGTTCACGCATCACTAGCGCCAGCCCTACCAACAAGGTCGGCTCCCCCGTCAGGTTCCAGAAGATGACTTAACTGTATTTGAATGAATATAGATTGTTGTATTATATTTAATAAAAATAAGACATCCCCTGAAAATAAGCCCTAGTGTGTCTTCTTGATAACAAAATAAATATAAGACAGTGTTTTATTTTTGGGGAAACACAGTGGTACTTGCTTTCAAGGCTTGGTTTATACTAGAAACTTTCTCTACTATAAGTGCCCTCAACAATGTAGAGATATTGGGACGTAGTACAGAGAAATTCTATCATTAAAATTACTATCATTAAAATTAAAACATAAGCATAAAATGCTAATCATTTTCTCTAACACTGTAAGCTTCTTGTTATACATATGAGACACTAGCTTGTTGTTCTTGTATCCTCGATTCCTAGACAATTCTTGGCACTTTATAGACTCTCAATACTATCTGAGATTGCTCTACAAATCCTGGTTTCTAAGCTTACTAATTGGATGTCTTAATCTGAAAGGAGTCTAACATGTTTGAACTGCTATAATTAGAGCGATCATTATTGAATTATTTTTAAGGGATAGGGGTCTCACTACATTGTCCAGGCTGTGTTTCAAACTCCTGGGCTTAAGTAATTATCTTGGCTCAGCCTTCTAAACAGCTGGGACTATAGGCACTTGGCACTGCTCCCAGTATACTTAATGATTAAATACTTCGATTATGTGCTAAGGACTATTTTGAATACATTATTCCTATTATTATATCTAATCCTAAAAGCACCCTTATAAAGAAGACATCTTAATTCTCATTTTATAAAGGAGAAGTTTGAATATCAAGATGCTAAAAAAAAAAAGCTTAATAGAATCAGAATTGTTAAAATTAGACTTTGAACACAAGTTATGCCTAGTTTTGAGTTTCATGATTTTTCTAAAACATAGGTATCCTTTAGGAGTAGTGACAAAGGAATGCCAGTATTTTGATAAGGAATCATTGAAAGTAAATTTTTTTTTTTTAAGACAGAGTCTTACTATGTTGCCCTCAGTAGAATACCATAATATCACAGCTCACAGCAACCTCAAACTCTTGGGCTTAAGCGATCCTTTTGCCTCAGCCTCCCATGTAGCTGGGACTCCCATGTAGCATCCCATGTAGAGGCACCCAAAACAATATCCGGCTATTTTTTTGTTATAATTGTCATTGTTGTTTAGCAGGCCTGGGCCAGGGTCGAATCCACTGGGCCTGGATTTGAACCACTGAGCTACAGGCACCAAGCCCATTGAAAGTAAAATTAAACCAACTGGCTACCCTGAGGACTCCTTCTAGCAAAGCAGCTAATGAATTGAAGGTGGTTTTTGATGTGAAATATTGAGAGCTTTGCCCTCTTTTCTGTACTTCTGTAACTGAAAGGTTGTGATGGTTAATGAAATTATCTTCATATACATCTAGCCATCAAAGAGGCCTGCAGTTCCTAACCTCAGTTCCCCTTCATGCTTTGAAAAGGATAGTTAATGTAGGTGAAATAAACTGGCAAATTATGGGAAAGTTGCAGAATAGTAACAGCCTGTGATCTGAATACAGACAGGTAATGATTAATGATCCAGTAAGATAGATGAAGTCATGTGATGGCCCTGCAGGGGGCAAGGGGCACAGCCACACTAGTGGTGCCTTCTTTAAGCCTAATCAGACTCAAATATTACCGTGGCACAGTTTGTTAGTGGGGTCTTCACCCTTATCAGAAGATGAGTGGTGGCTCGGCGCCTGTGGCTCAATCGGCTAAGGTGCCAGCCACATACACCTAAGGTGGTGGGTTCGAATCCCCAGTCCGGGCCTGACAAACAATGATGGCTGCAACCAAAAAATGGCCGGCGCTGTG